AACTTTAAATAAATGCTTCTTCACCATAAGAGAAATCACTTTCTAAAGGATTCCTCTAAAGTTATGGAAAACATTAGGAAATTTGAATTTTTTTCTCTCTTTATGATAAAAATGTTCTTTTCTATGAAAGAGATGAAGTCATGAACACTCATATCTTTCCTTTCTTCCTCTCCCCTTTATTAGCTATATATCATTTTTATATTGTCAAAGTGTAAGGTAATTCCCATTGAAATGTGACCAAATATAACAAAACTCCATGTAATTGTTTAGTATTTGTTCTATAATTTGATGGGTTAATTTATAACCATTGGTTTTTAAATTATAGCTTCTTTATTACTAATTTCTTTAGATTCATCTCTTATTTATGCAGATTTTTTTTTGCCACTTTGGTTCAGCAATTTTTAAAGGAGGTCTCATGTGTGCCACATGTCCTGAGTTCTTTCATGTTGACAATGTCCATTTATTATCTTTATAGGTGAATAACACCTTCTCTGGATTTAATCTTTTGGCCACACCTGTTTTTTCTAAATATAGTAAACGTTGTTTTATTGCTTTCATAGAAGAGGTTAATGACAGCCTGATTTTTTTTTCAGTTTTTAGGTGATTTGTTTTTCTGCCTGGGTGCTCAAGGAATTCATTCTTTATTCCTTAAACCCAAAATCTTTAGCAGAATATATTTTTGTATATTTTGTAATGTGTAGGAACATTACTGTATGAAATGTTCCTATGACCCTTACGTGTTTTTTCTATCAGCAAATTGCTTTTTTTATTTTAATAAAATTTTCTTTTAATATACTGAGTTAGTTTTCTATTCTATTTTTCTGTCATTCTGAGACATTATGCTACCTCATTTTAATCTACATTTTCTGTTAATTTCTTGTTACAGAAATCAGTTTGCTTTTTAAAAACTACACTTCTTATGATTATCTAAAAGTTTTCTATTAACAGCATAGTTTAAAATGCTCAAATATTCATACACAGAGGAAATGAGTCTAAATATAAGGAACAAAGAATAATAATTAAATGAACTCTCATAGCTCTACAGCCCAGCCTAAGAACTAGAATAATACTACTATATATTAAAATTCCTGTATATGAATACCTTTCCTAGATTCCATGCTCCTCTGTTCATTCCCCAAAGTTACTAATATCTTAAGTTTTATCTTTAGCATAAGATTATAAAAAATTATACCCTAATGAATACAGTTTAGTTTTGAATACGTTTGACCATTTTTATAAAAGAAATCATACTATATATTCTTTAGCAACCTGTCTTTTTTCTCCTTAAAATTCTGCTTGTGAAATTTATTTATATTAATATATGTGCCTTTAGTTATTTCTTTATCACTGTTAAATAATATTCATAGACAGGGTGTGTGGCTCATGCCTGTAATCCCAACACTTTGGGAGGCTGAGGTGAGAGGATTATTTAAGTCCAGGAGTTCAAGACTAGCCTGAGCAACATAGGAAGACCCCATCTCTAATTTTCAAAAAATACATTGAAAATAATATTCATAGGATGGATACAGTACCATTTATGCATTCATTTCCCTGTTAATGACTTCTAGTTTGTTTCAACATTTTATTTTATTACTATCAATATTATATATATTTTAGTGTATATTATCTAGTACACATGTTCAAATTTTTTTTAGAATGTATGCTTCTGAGGGGCGATATTTCCAAATCATAAGTATATCTTTAACTTTACTGAATAATGCCAAATGATTTTCTAAAATAGTTACATATATTTGAACGTAATATATTCTCTACCTGGTTGATGGCTATTCTGTAATTATGTCACTTTGCTTCTCGATTTGTTTCCTTGAGTCAAATCTTCCTTTTAATCTGAGTTCTATTGCTTTATCATCTTTTCTTTAAATTATTATTTTATTTCATCTGTATTCTTTGACTTACATATTCCTTTGCACTTTCTCATTTGATTTGATCCTTGAAATAACACTGAAGAATAGGTACTGTTATGATTCCCATTTTATAGGTAAAGAAATGGACTCCCAGGAAATTATGCATCTTGGCCACAGGTCACAGCTAGTAAATGGAGGATCCAAACTAGCAACTGAGGCCTTCACCTCCAAAATGCTTGCTTTTTTCATGCTTTGAGACAGACTATAATTAGATGCTATATTGTATAGTACAGCCTCTAAGACTAATTCAGCTTCTAAACTGAACAGGAATAAATAAACAACACATCTACAGTACATGTAACTTATTGAAAACCCTCCTAAATGAGACAAGAACAGCAGCATACCAGCTGGAATTGCTGCCCTGATCTCTCTTGGCACTTATCCTGGTACCTAAAAGGATGAATTCTGCTGCTACCACCTAAAGTGTGTATGTGTACGTGTATGTGTATGCATATGTGTATGTGTATGTGTGTGTTTTAAGCAGCTGATACAAGTGATAGTACTATTGACGTAGATTTTAGAAACCCAATTTAATAACAAGGGAACAGGATTAAAACAAGAATATGATGTGGGTTTGCTTGGGCCTCGATGATGTCTGAGAATAGCCTTTATTTGGAATATCCCTCCATCCTGAGCTCTTAGAAAAGGACCAGGTCACACAGGGTAAACCTGTGCAGCTATTAATGTGGTGGATTGCAGAACCTTGCCCTGTGTTAGCGGACTTTTCTAGCACTTGGAGGGGCACAGTGAAGTTCAGTTATTCCTGGAAAGGATATCTCTCCTGAGTTACAGTTTTAGAAGAATGGCAATGAAATGACAGGCTACCCAAAGATAATCTATACTGAGACTGTTGTAAACTGAAGATGAGGGGAGGCAGCAAGACTGACTCAAAGAACAGTCATGCATCTAGACTTAGCTGCCCTTCTGTATTAGAGCGATTGCTGGTTGAATTTATGTCCTATTTTCCAATATCTTTATCAAGGAATTGTAATCAAACCTAAGATAATCAAATAATTATTTTCATTGTTTCCTAAAGATTGATCTAGGGAGATGCATATAGATCCAGTGGTGAAAAAAACCTGCAAAGCATTCTAATAAGTTTGGATGTCTTTAATTTAACCAAGCCAAGAGTTTTCTTTTCTGTAGAATTCTTCAAAGCTATTAATATGCTAATGCACTCTGAATTTGTAAGAGGGATGTGTATTACAAAGAAGTTCTAAGTTATTTGATCATGAAACCCTTGTATTCATGGATTCCTGGAACATATTTCAAGAAATTTTGCTTTCTTCTAATCATAAAATATTCAAACTAGAAGATGCCTCAAAACAACTCCAGTTTTAAACCCTAATTTTACAAGAAGGGAAACTAAAATTTAGAGACTTTAAGTGACTTCCCCAAGGTCACATAGCTCTTTGGTGATAAAGGTAGAACTAGAATTTTTATCTTCAGATTCCTGATCTTGTGTGAAACTGATCAAAAATAGATTAAGTCACAAGATGCAATGACCTGAAGGCAGGCCTGTTTGCTCCCTTCCAGGCATGTGATATGTCCTTCTTTGCCAGTGAGAATAATGAGACCTAAAATTATTTCCTGTGGACCCAAAATTGCACTTCTGACAGCTCATGAAATCCTCTCTCTGAAACCTTATTACATCTCTGCTCTCCCTAAAGATTCAAGAGCTAGGGGTATCCTCTCTAAATTCTGCATATAAGGCCTACATCACAGATATTCACCTGAGTTGCCCTCCAGCAACACTTAGAGAACAACTCCCCTTCCAGCATCCTGTTGCAAGTTGAGGAGTCTGTGGAAAGAGGCAATTTTATATACTGAGGTTACCTGGACAGCCTCAGACCCCATAAGCAGAATTTAGAGAGGGCTTGAAATTTAGAAAAGGGACCACCTTTCCGGTAAGCAGTGGGGCAGTGTATATCAAAAACCCTTACCAGCTTCATACCCTTCAACTTTGAAGGAAATAGCAGAAAGTGTATTTTCAGATTTAATTGCATTAGTATTTGTCAATATACTATTTTAATAGAAATTTGAAATAACAGTATCCAATAATAGGAGATATCAAATAAATCAATACACATCTATTAAATACTATATAGCCAATAAATTTATGTTATAGAACCATTCATGGAAAGATGTCTAGAACAGAGCTTCCCAACCAGTTTGCTGGGTATTGAGATTTTGATGTCCTTTGCGCTCATGTCAGGTAGTCAGGGTCTAGTGTGGCCAGAGTCCCCACTCAAATGTCTCAAAATGCAAGCAGGCTCTTCTTTCACCCAAGTGTACCATAAAATTACTTGGTTTTTAAAAATGTGTGCCATGATGTTAAAGTGTTCAGAAAACTGATCTAAAACATATTGCTGGGAAAAAATTATGAAGTATTATTACATTGAGATTTGAGATATACTCCAATGTCTGATTGAAAACATACCTTGCCTATATCTGGAATACTAGTAATTTTTATGTTTTTGTTTATTTGCATTTCTCTTTTTAAGTAAAAAGTTGTTTGTTTTGTTTTGTTTTGTTTTTTTGACAGAGTCTCACTCTGTCACATAGGCTGGAGTGCAGTGGCATGGTCTCAGCTCACTACCTCCCTCCCCTGAGTTCGAGGGATCCTCCCACCTCAGCCTCCTCAGTAGCTGATTACAGGCATGCTCCACCACGTCCGACTAACTTTTTAAACTTACTTTGTATTTGTAGTAGAGATGAGTTTTACCATGTTAGCCAGGCTGGTCTCAAACTCCTGACCTCGAGTGATCTGCCCACCTCAGCTTCCCAAAGTGCTGGGATTACAGGCATGAACCACCACACCTGGCCCAAAGTATTATTTAATAAGAATAATATAATAATTTTAATGCTTACATAGCTCTTAATATATTTTATTTGGTTTGATCCTCAAACAAACTTATGAAGTAGTTACTGCCATCATTGTTTTCATTATATAAATATCATTTTTTAAGTCCATATTTGAAGCTAGTAGGAACTGGACAAGTTGATGCTGGCAAAAGAAGGCAGAAATAAAATATATCTGAAAGGTAGAAATAAGAAAATGTAATAACTAATTACCTGTGGGAACTAAGTACACCTCCAGGCCATTGGGGATTGTGGTATTGATGACCAAAACAGAATCATAGAAATGCAATATTTTACAAAGATTTTAAAGGCAAACTCAGGGAATGATTCATGTTCAAGAAGCAGCTGAGTTTTGCTGTTTACTTGTTATTTAGGAGGTGCGAAATTCACTGGTGAAAATGTCCAAGTTATTGTTGAAACTCAGCTGAGAGGACGAAACCAAAGATGTAGTTTGGATAGTCACTCACAATGGAGCCACAGTCAAAGCTGTGCAGGAGAATTGATTCTCCTGGCAAGAATGTAGAGAGAAAAGCAGGACACCAAAAGCTCGAACCTTTAGTCATTGTCTCTGCAGAACTCCCAGGGACTTGACTTCTATGTGTGGAATGATGATAGAATAGCATTCCAAGAGTCGTTGGCAATGGATGAATATTGACAATGGATGACATGTTCAAACAGTTTTCTTTATTATTCCTCCATAGATTAGAGATTACTTGATTTTAAAAAACAAAGACATTTTGTATGCTCACAGAGCATGTGTTGGTGAGCAGCACCCTAGAAGACAGGATTAATGTGAAAGGTATCCTAGCCATTTGAAGAAGTGATCAGAAATTAAGAAGGTGCCACTGAATTATAACAAGTGCATAGTACATTGCACTTAGGATGGGCAAAGGGATTAAGCTACAAAAATACAAAATGGAAGGACTCTGACAGGCTGTACATACAATGAGGAAAAATCTACAAGTCTCAGAGAGGAACAACTTGACAAGGAATGTGCTGTATATATTTATGCTGGCAAATATAAAATGTTTATTAGAAAATATGTTTTCAGGCAGTAGAAAGACATAATAATTCAATCACCTTGTCATATTTGGCATTCAGAAGAAATACATTAGAAACATAGTAAATGTATTTCTCTTCAGGGTGCCTCTTTTGAAAGAGTTTAAGTTTATTAAATAAAATATAAAGGACATCAAAGAAAATTAATACATGACTGTAAAAACGTACTCCTAAAGAAAGGTCAATAATCATGGTATTTATTTTTGACATCAAAAGACCAAGGAAAAATTTAATAAGGATCAAGATCATTGGCCTGTGTGCAGTGGCTCACATCTGTAATCCTAGCACTTTGGGAGGCTGAGGTGGCAGGATCACTCGAGCCCAGGAGGTCGAGGCTGCAGTGAGCCATGATCACACCACTGCACTCCACTCTGGGCTACAAACTGAGACCCTATCTCAAAACTAAGCAAAACAAAAAAGATCATTAATCTGTGGAAGATCATTGTACAGAGTTGTTTGGCATCTCTATTGCAAGTAGAACAATAGGAAATAAACTGAAGCCATGAATTTTAAAAAATCCCCCTATATATATAAATATATAAATGTATAAATATATATAAATGTATAAATATATATAAATATATAAATATAAATATGTATATATACACACACACACACACACACATATACAGACCACACATACTGGCATACATACACATATATGTGTATGTTTGTGTAGAGTCTAGAAGAGAATGCATCAAAATATTAATAGTTATTATTAGGATTATAGGTGTTTTATTTGTTTTATATCTGTATCTTTTCCAAAATTATATATATTAAACATGCAATTTTTGTGTAGTGAGACAAATGAGTTATTTTTCTTTAAAAGTGTTTCTAGAAACAAATGTTACTTCTTTCTCCTTCCTGTCACATTCTCAGCCCTTAATCGATAAAACTCATTTTTCATAAGATCCTGAATAACAACAGTTCTGGCACCCCATTTTATCTTTTTCAGATGCTAGTGAAAAACAATCACCTTTCAGGCAAGATCATTGTTTTGCCAGGAAAAATTGAAGACATCTCACTTCCTGAGGCTGTAGATGTGATCATTTCCGAACCAATGGGATACATGCTGTTCAATGAACGGATGCTAGAGAGTTATCTTCATTCCAAAAAATGGCTAAAATCAAATGGTAAGTTGGCCCATTCTTGGTTTAAAAAACAGTCTGACTTCTCTGTAAAAGCATTTCTATTATACTCAATTATTTGTTTTTCTCATCTCATTTTTCCATAACAAATTAACTAGTCTCCAATCATAAGAACACAGGTATGCTTCACAGTATTCAACGTGGTATAGAGAGCCAGGTCTGAGTTTTGTGTTTTTTGTCCTAGTTCAATCCCTTCGTTCCTTAATGAACTTGGGCTAACACTTGACCATTTGGCTTTGGTTTCCTCATCTGTAAAATGATATTATTACACATAATCTCTGATATCCTTTCAAGTATTGGCCCTCTATAATGTGAGGAACTCTCTGGGGTCTGCTTGTTCTTTTTGACATGTTTTTTCCCCTACTGTATTTCTCTCTCTGTCTATGATCACTACACATAGTCAAGATAATATTAAATCCAATATGCTTTTTGTGCTTTCCAAGTGCCAATTTGAATAAATTATTTTATAAAATCCTTATAAAGTCTGAATGATGAAGGTTTTCAATTTATTCGGGGGGTTAGCCTCGAAGCTAATTTTGCAACCTTCCCCAGGGACATTTGACAATGTCTGGAGACACTTTGGTTGTCACAATGGCAGCAGGGGCTGGGGTATTGGCATCTAGTGAATAGGGGCAAAGATGCTGTGAAGCATCCTTTGATGCACAGGACAGTCCCCTGCATCAAAGAATTATCAGCCCAAAATATCAATAGTATATGATTGAGACCTGGGTTAGCGGAGGGCATTGTTATGATCCCATTTTATAAAGAGAAAACTGAGACTCAATGAGGAAAAGTAACTTGGCAAGAACAGACATCTAACAATTGGCAGGCCAAGAATTTGAGCCTACATCCATCTGACCCTGAAGCCTACACTCATGACTTTGGCGCACACACTGGCTTTCCACTCTTCACCAGAGAAAGTAGATGCATTCCAACAGCAGGTGTTTTCAATTAAGACATCGGGGCTAACTGGCCAATTTTAAGTTGCATCTTATGAGAATTTCAGCTCCTTACCCCAATTGTATTTATCTAAATTACCAATGTTGTAGCTCCCTATCTTGCTATTCAATGAAAACAAAATAGTGAACGACTGGGCAACTCATACGTACCAACATGCATTTAAGTGAAGTTTGAAGTTTATAATTTCCTACATGCTTCAAAATTCAGAAATAGGCACTGAAAGAAAATTCATGTATAAATAAATAAATAAGCTCAGGCAAAGTATACCTGATGTCAAGAACTTCATTAGCAATCTTGCTGTAAAACAGCTCAGGATGCTCTTGGAAGCCTTGTGTGTATGCGATAAAATTGAACTGTGGGAGATGAAAGTGAAGGTACAAAGTGGCTTGGATTTCCTCCTCAATGCCCCCAGGAAGAATTTGTATGGTTTTTTCCTGGACTTTTTCAGATGGTTAGGTGCTTCTATATGATGAGATTTATAATGTAGTTAATTAACATGTATCACCTGTGCCCCTCTTAAGCTCAGTATTTAGATAGTATCTAGGTATCTTCCCTGGATATTTGAAATGAATATGACATTTTATACTGGGCTATATATCTTTAACTAGGCAAGTAGAAATGAATACTGATTTTATTGGCTTTCTAGGCTATATCTTCCTCAGGGAAGGGTGATTGATTTTTTTTCTAATTATTTATATATTCTATCATAATAAGACATAGTTTAAAACATCAATTAATAATAAAAAGGCTTATAATGAAAAATAGTAGTCTTCTGCCACACCTCTTTCTATCGTCAGACTGCTCCCCAAAGGCAACTGCTTTCAACTCTATCTGTTGTTTCTTCTATTATTTACCTACATATTCCTATCTAAGATGATTACATTGCTATTCTCGTCACTTTCTGCTTGAGAATTCAGCTTTCCTGAATAGCAGCTCCTTCCTTCCTGATGCACCTACCCCACCCCCATCCTCTCAATGTATTTAGATAGGTCCTCAGTTCCTTTATCCCAACCCTTAGGGCCAGATATGTTTCAGAATTCAGCATCTGAAGGACTTTTGAAAGTTAATATGATCACATACCATGTACTACTTAATTCTCCCAGTGGGATCTGAGGCAACACTCTGTAATGAAACACATTATATTCCTGCAACAAAACATAAGAATATTGATACCAAGAATAAATGAAGACTACAAATAAACTCTCGTGTTAGTTCAGGTCAGGTTTTGCCATCAAATGATGCTGCCGCAAACTTATAAAAATCTGTTGCTTTTCAGATCTCAGAATTTAGCATAAAGAAATATAGGCCTAGATCATTATTCGGTTAAATCAAGAATCAGCGTTTACAGTGTTATGATGTAATGTAACTATTGTTGAATACTGAGTCAGATGGTAGAGTAGATGCTGTATACTTATATATGTTTTCTCATATAATCTTTTGTTTTTCCCGGAGTTAATTGTCTTGGTTTCTTTTATTAGCTTAGCTTTTATATATTCATGGTTAAGTGTTTCTACGCTCCAATAGATCTGACAGATGCCATCAATATGTGTTCCTCTGTTGCTCCCCTCTATTCAGTAGTCCTCTGGCCTTCTCTAGCAACATGAACTGAGTGTTCTGCAGCCCCACTGCGTGACAGCCACACTTTGACTTTCCATCATCATCCTTTTGTCTTCCTCTTTGTTGGTTTACGACATCATTTCAGCAAAGGATATTCTCTACCAGCTTCTGCAGAAAAGGAGCTTGAGGAGTTACTTTTTATCAAGTCCTTGTGCTATTATTTGGTCAAGAATTTTACTTAAAAACAATTTTTAATCAATATTTTTAAAGCTTGTGTTTTGGTTTTTGTGTTTGGTTTCTGTCTGCAAATCTTGCTATTGAGAAGTCAATGCCATTCTGACTCCTGCTCCTTTAGAGTAACAAAGTTTTCCCCTCTAGATGCTTTTAGTATCTTCTTTTTATTTCTAGTGTTCTAGTGAGAATCTTTTTTAAGTTCCTGTGCTGGAAATTCAGTGAATATGTTTAATCAGGAGGCTGATTTTCTTCTGTTCTTGGAATTTTCAAAATATTTTACATTTGATTTTCTCCCCTCCATTTTATCTGACATTCTTGGAATTCCTATTAGATTGAGGCTCATAACATCATCCTCTAATCTTCCCAAGTTTACACAAGCAGTGATACATATTACTTCTCTGAGGTTATTTAATATCCTTCTATCGTCTCGAAATTGAAAAACCATCAAGCAATCATTATTGTTTTGATACCAATGCCTGAGATTTAGATGGGGACATATGAATGAGGTTATGATCATGCTTTGCCCCTGACCGCTTCTGAAAATACCCCCAAATAAAATAACCTGTTTTAACAGATATGAAAAGCCAC